CGTGCTAGTCCGGAATTTCCTTTTGTTGTTATTGATTCCTTTTAAGACAAACAAAAAGGACGCAGCTCTTCGTTTTTTCAGGCGACCCCTGGACCCCGACACCACCAACGAGCGTGGGCGGTCGCCCTTGCACACTGCGGCGGCCTTCGGGCACACAAAGGTGGCCCGCTGCTTGCTGGAAGCTGGGGCCGACAAGGACCTGCCGGACAAGCAAATGCTGCTTAGCTCTGCGAGAACCGTCACCAAGTGCTTAGTTTTTTTTTGTTGCTTTGCTTTTTTTGTTTTTCGATACTAAATACTCCAGTATAACGTATGGCCATGTTGGATCGAGGCTGGCTTCCCATAATGACGTTTTTCAGCGAACAGGAGATGGTTTCCCCCCCTAACCACCAAACCACCGGGCTCCAAACCACCAATTGGAGGGAAGCTGAAACGAGGGGTTCCAAATTGTTTTGAGAAGGCGCCCCAGTTGGTGACCATTGCGAGGGTTCTCGCAAGGTCAACGCCGCTTCACCTTGCTGCCGGGCAGGGACAGCCAGAGATGACGCTTTGCTTGCTGGAAGCCGGCGCGGACAAGGCAGGCTTCAAACTGTTTTTTGCCCTTAGAGCGGAGGCTGGTTGAAACATCACCTTTGGCCAGTGTCAAGTGTGTCTCCTTGGGTTCCCCCAACATTTTGTTCCCAAAGGCTTGAATGAATCATTATCTAAATGGGCCAGGTTTTCATGTAGTTGCTCTTCTGTGAACCCTGGAAGTCACCGTTTCGTGATGAACATCTCGCCTTTTTGGCACCTCTTTAAACATCACCCAGTAAACCAATTCTAGCACATTTTTCCCAAGCCAGATGAAATCATGCCAAACACATGTTCCAAGTCATACAGTGACCTGAAACAAGTGGCCTTAAGTGGAACATCTCTCTTGCAGGACAAGGCCAACAGCGCGGGTTGTACACCTCTGCTGGCTGCGGCCATGGTTGGTCATCATGAAGCATGGCTTTCCTTAGCTTAGGGCCGTTGATGTTTTTCTTCATGAACCAACAACATGAAATTTTGGATGTCCCCGTATGTTCTTGTTGAACCCGCAAGAGGTTGAGACGTTGGGGGAAGTCTAAGGACGTGGTGCGATGCCTGGTTGAAGCTGGCGCTGACATGAACAAGCCCGACTGTCGCGGGCTCAGGCCCCTCCATGTCGCTGCACTGCGGGGCTTTCACGACGTGGTGTGCCGCTTGCTGGACGCTGGCGCTGACCAGCGGCAGTGCGACCACTCGGGGCACACGGCGTTTCTTTGGTGCATTTTGCCAAGGGATGTTAGTTGGCTGTAACCTTTTGCCAGCTAAGGGGTTTTCCGAATTAACCCACCAAAGTTATTCACTTTTAGTAGGGGAGTTGCCAACTAAGGGGTTTTCCGAATTCACCCACTAGAGGTTAGTCACTTTTGGCAGGGGAGCAGAAAGTAGCCGAGGTTACATGTTGCCACCTTGAAGGGCAATAGCGAGGTGGCGCGCTACTTGCTGGCGCAGGGCGGCGACACGGACCTGGCGAACCATGCGGGGTGCACGCCCCTGCTGGCGGCCGCCATGCTGGGGCACCACGAAGTGGCGCAATGCTTGCTGGAGGCGGGGGCGAGCCACAGCAAGGCAGACACCCAGGGGCGCACGCCTTTGCATGTCGCCGCCGCGCTGGGTCGCCTGGAAGTGGTGCGCTGCTTAATAGAAGCAGGCGCCGACAAGGACCAGGCAAACAGTGAAGGCTGCACGCCTTTGCTGGTCGCCGCCGGGCTTGGCAACCATGAGGTGGTGCGCTGCTTGCTGGAGGCTGGTGCTGACAGGGACAAGATGAACGGCGCGGAGTGCACGCCGTTGCTTGCAGCCACCACGGCGGGTCATCACGTGGTGGTGCGCTGCTTGCTGGAAGCCGGCGCCGATATGGAGAAGCCGGACATTCGCGGGCTGAGTCCCCTGCATGTTGCTGCTCTGAGAGGCTTCGGAAGGGACTTTGGAAGACCCCACAACGTGGCGAGGGGGAATCTCTTTGCGGTGAAAGGTTTCTCTTTTCTGGTCAAAGGCTGAGAAAAAACCTGGGAATCTATGTTGGACTTGCTGCTTTTTTTTCCTTGTGGAGGGGAGGTTCCCTCTCAATTCAGTAGCAAAAGGAGCTGCACATGGAACCTGAAAGAGACCGCCTGGTTTTCAGGATGTTCCTCAAATCCTTGGTTCCATGTCTGGTTTTGGCAGCCTCCGTCCCAACATGGCACCTCACAGGTTCCTTTAAGAGGAAACTGGTTTTCCAGAACCCCCCCCCGCCCCCCCCGCAGCTGTGCTGGTAGGGGCAATCGCCCAACCCTGCGAGGCTATCTGGAAGTGGTTCGCTGCTTGCTGGCAGCTGGCGCTGATACCGAGAAAGTCAGCCATTCCGGGCTCTCGCCGCTACACGCGGCGGCCGGATATGGCCACACTCAGGCCATGGCCGGACTTTACTTACTGTTTCGCCCCTTTGATCCGTCTGGGTTTGCTTCAGTACTTGCCAGGGTCCCAAGAAACTTCTCCAGAAAAAGGGCTCCCCTTTTTGTGATTTTGCGCTTTTTTGGGGTCCCTTTGTTTTGCACTAACCAGGCAAAAAAGATGATTTTTTTGCTGGGGTCCTAATTCCAGCCTAGCAAATACGAAGGTGGTTTCCTCGGAAATCAACGGGTTTTTTCCACCGTTTTTGCGCCTATTCTGGGCAAAAAAGTGGTGGCCCCCGATCTCCAGTCGGACCGAGTGAGCCGTGAGGTGATGCGCGCATTGCTGGAAGCTGGGGCCGACAAGGAGCGAATGGACGGGCAGGGGCGCACGCCCCTGCGCGTGGCGATCTGTCAGGGGCATCGAGGCGGGGGGCGTTTTGTGACCCAGGAAGAAATAGATCTGGGTGAACGATAACTCCTCACACTACGAAAAACCCCAAATGGCGGTTGATGTGGGGAATGGCCGGCCCCCCAACCACCTTATTTCAGGCTGGTGAAATATATTATAATTCACCCAGATAGATTGTCCTCAAAAAGAGGAACTCCCCAAGAAGGGTGGGGGTCCTGTTGGTTTCCCTTCAACATCATCCAAAAAAGGTACCCTCAACAGCCGCATATCATGGATAACTTGGGGTCCTTTCACAGGGAGACTTCCCAAGCATGATGGTGTGTCACAACTTGCTTGTACTGGGATGATTTTACCCCGCTTTGTGGCGAGCTGCGGGGCGGGCGCGAGCTCACCATGATTGTTCCAAGTTCTCTACTGAAAATCCGTTGGATCCATGATAGAATTTACAGACTAAGAATCCCTTAGTGGATTAACAAGCATGGTTGTTGTTGGGAGACATTTTACATTTTTGGCTTATTGTGGTTTAGTGGTTGACATCCCCACTGAACTGCTAAGAGTGAAATTCTTGCTCCCCTTCCAACGTCAACCGAGCATAGGGGTGGTCCGATTTGAGAGGGAATGCTTCACCATTTGGGGAACCACCCGCCTAAGAATCTGCGGGTTTGCTTTTCGCCTGCGCACGGTTCAACAAATCGCAGGGCAGCCTTGGGGTCATTTCGCAGGCCTTGAAGCCACCAGACAGAAAGGGATCTTAGCATAGGTGTCCCTTAGGTTGGTTTGGTTGGAAGTCGATACGGGTTCCGCCGGTTTAGATGCGTTTTTATCTCATGTACCAGGGCCAGGGCCATTTACCAAAAGGACACCTACGGATCTTAGTGGTAACCTGGTAAGGGTGAGAAGCACTGAACTGGGCAGGCTCGGATTTTTCGATTCGCCCCCAGAAAGAAGTGAGGGGCACTCGAGGGATCGGGGGCCTGTGCCCATTTTTGTGTGGGTTACAAGCCCGTTTTTGTCACACATCCCAACCCGCATCCAGGCGTTGAGCAGTGCTTGTTGGAAGCTGGTGCGGCCGAGAGCGACGACGAGCGGGACTCAAGTTCGCAAGATGTGCGGCCTCGTAAGCGCAGGCGAGAACAGTAGCTCAGCCAGCGAGCAGGGTTGGGCGAAGTTTGGTTCAGCGAGCAGGCCATGGCCACCTTTGAGTGGAAGCTAAAATAAGTCGTGGTCCACACATGGTTGAACACGGGGTAAGCCCAACCCAAGCAAACGTCGCAGGTGAGGCCAACTGCGCTTCTCCTGTTGGCAGTCCTGCGCTTCGGAGAAACATCGCCGGCTTCTTTTGAGGGTATTCCTTTAAATTGGAAGTGAAGAAAGTGGCACCCATTTTGAGGGTTATGTATATAGAATATATTCTCGTTTGAAGCGGAATTTGCAGTCACACTTCACCCATTTTGAGGGTGCCATTTGGCCCAGTGCTTAAGTGAAGATAAGACACTCCCCGCCCAAGCTTTTGTTGCGGCCAAACATTTTTTTGAGGTGACACGGCCAACCAAAAGGAAACCCCACCATTGGGCCATTGGGGGGGGGGTGTCCCAAAAAAAGGACACAGCCAGGTCCCCCAAAGAAGCCCCGAAGGGGATCCAGGCGCGTGACTGAAGCGCCTCGTGCTCATCCATTCTTCGCGCATTTTTTTTTGGCCAGCTGATTTGTTGATGGTCATTTTGGGGTGCTTCTCCTCTGTGTGAAACCCGGTGCTTCTCACCAAACTGAAGAATGGTTGGACATGGTATGATTTGTTGATGGCATAAGCCCGGTGCCCTTAGCCTCCGACATTGAAACTTGGGAACACAAAGGGGTTCCATGTCGTTCTTCGAAACCGACTAGGTAAAACCACAACCTTAAGGGAATTGGGGCGGGGTAGCGACCGGAATGTTTGGCAGCTTTTTGTTGTTCCTTTCCCCATGCTGGGTTGGGCAAGGCCCCTTTCATCCTTGGTGGGGCTTATTTGGGATAGGTCGAGGTTTCCAAAGAGGAGAATTGACCCCCCCACTTAACAAAAAAGCGAAAAGAGCCGCCCCCAAAAGGCCTCACAAAGGCGCCATGGAGGCCCTTGGCAAGGGGGAAACTGGACCACCTGTCCCCTTGCCCAGCCATCTGGACATCTTCGGCTGGGGCGCCTGGGGGTGGCTTCCGCGGCCAAAGGGTAAGCCCAAGGAAAAAAGGACGCCACTGGCAGGAAATATGCGGGTCGGCTTGTTCCCCCCATTTCTGCATGAAGCCCACCCCCAAATCATGGATTGTATGATGAATCAGGGATAAGCCCGGGACAATGAGGCTCAAACTTCAGCTTAGATACTATGTCTATCGGCTTTGGGGGGTGACCAGTCCAAGCAAAAAACAACTGCTGGGTTGAGGATCTCATGGGTGGAGGCCTTTTGTTGAGGCCTCTTTTGGCGGTTTCAAAGGGAAACCAACCGGAAAACCATGTTTGGGCTCCCCTGAAAAAAAAAGACACACCCAAATGGTAGCCCCTTCCATGTTAACTCTCGGATAAAGAATAAAAGAACACTTGAGATGGGGGGCCTGAAAAGGCCTTGCTTTGAGCCGGCCTGTTCTTTTTTGGAGCCCGGCGGGAGGGGCTCGAAGTCTATCGGAAGCCGAAGCCCCCAACGCGTGACTGCTTGCCACGACTCAACAAAAACGTAACCACGACCAATTGTACTCACGACAAGAGAAGTGCTAATATCATATAAGAAAACATAACAAGTTATAGTTGTATTGTATTTAGTTTAGAATCATATTAAGTATTTGTATACTAGATTGTGTTCTAAATGACATTGAGCGATATTGATTATGCTATAAGTGTATTTTTGTTTCCGTTTAATCAACAATATTACATGTTCTTTGATATTGAATGATATTGTGTTAGGGTGCAGTAAATGATGTTAGACTCTTAAAGTGTTTCATATCATATTAGATGATATTGAATGATATAAATTCTAGTTGGTTGTATTAAATGATATTATATTGAGTTGTATTCTATTAAGTTATATTAGGTTATGTGAGATTATATTGAATGATAGTATATTATATTAGGTCACTCAACCAACCTTAAACCCACCCTAACTACACCCTAAACTCACCCCTAAACCAACCCAAAACCAATGCCAAACTAGCCCCAAACCACCCTGAACCAACCCGAAACCAACCCTAAACCAAACCTAAAACGACCCTACAACGACCCTAAACCAACCCCTAAACCAACCCCAAAACCGACCCTAAACCAAACCCCAAACCAACCCTAAAATGACCCCAAAACGAGACTAAACCAACCCTAAACCAACTCACACTATTAAATTGTTTCATATCATATTAGATGACATCAAATGATTTTCTAAACGGGGGAAACAGGTAGTTTCTCTGTTTTCCCCGTAAGCCCCCGGAAAAGAGCGCCCTCCCAACAGTTCTGTCGCCCATACAGGTCTTGTTCGAGGGCGCCCCTTTCAGCTCGGTGGGAACCATTTTCGGAGACGCATCCCATGGGCGAAATCCGGAATGAACTCGCACAAGTCTTGAAATATCCGAAATCTTCCAACTGCTGAGTTGTTGAGTGGCTTCCATGGTTGTTGCTCGGACGAAACAGGCATCTTTTTGCTTATTGTGGTTGAGTGGATAAACTCCCACGTCACTGCTAGAATTTAGGATGTCTTTTGCTCCTTCTAACCACTGAACCGCTAAATCTTGGGAGTTGTTGCTCCCCTTCCAACGTTTTCCCAGAACTTCCAGCCGAAGACAAAAGCTGCGACGGGAGTCCACCAGATCGACGGATCGAGGCCCGGACCTCCAGCAGTGGCCAGAGGCCGATCGCCTGCTGGTGCTCGAGGCGATAGCGTCGGTTTCGGGAACATGCGACGCGCAAAAGGCGACGGTGCTGGGCGAGTTTTACCCAAAAGGAAGTGCCCCCAAAAAAGGGAGCCGCGGTTTTTTGCATTCTTTCCTTCTTTTTTTTTCGCCCCGATTTTTTTTTGGGGGTCGTTGACAGAGCTAATTACCAGGGGGACTTTCACATTTGAAGGCGAATACCACAATTGTCACCTGCCCTTCCTCCCTTCAAGCATCACAAAAAAAAACACCTTGGCGAGCTTGGGTTCGTCACAGGCACTTGTCAGCTTGGGTTTTGGCCACTGGTTGCGCCCGGATGGCCCTTTTGGTGATCCGCCATCGACCGATCCACAGGCACAGAAAGGTCAGCTGTTTTGGCCACTTGCGCCTGGAGCTATGGCCCTGGTGATCCGTCGACCCGTCGATCCGCAGGTGCTGCTGCGTCCGGGGGATGTGGCGGTTCTGCCGGCGGACTGGTGGGTCTGGCGCCCCGAATGGGGCGGACTGGTGGGGCTGTTCAAAGCCCGGGGCTTAGGGTTCCATAGGCTCCCGGGTTTGTTGGGCTTTTTTAGGGAAAATGGCCTCATCCATGTTGACCTGGCTGGTTTAAAATGCCTTAGCAAAAAGAATCCTCGGACTCCATCGGGTGTACAGTTCTCTAGGGAGCCTTGGCCTTAGGGACTCCATAAAGAAAGGGTGCAAGGAGATTTCGATAGCGAAACGCAACAGGGAATCATCTCCGAATGCTTGGTGGAGATCGAACCCTCACCTATTGAATGATGTCCACCAAAGGGTCCTCGCATGGAAAGCCGACAACATTACTGGTGTTTGTCGAGTTTGAGAGGAGAAGGGGCCCAATACCCCCCCAGTTTGGAAAACAGATATATAGGTTGCCAGGTGCTTATCCAATTGAACCAACTGTGAGTAATACTATCCTTGGCTCATAGGATATTGCAAAATATGGGAACCCCAAAATTGGGACCCCCAAATTGGGTTTGTTTGCTTGTTCGTTGAAACAAACCTGGAAGGTTTTGGTTTGGCGGCTCGGGAAAAAGAGACATGTGTTTGACAACCTCTTATGAGCAAATTGCAATAGGTCAGGGGTGTCTTGTTTTGAGGGTACCCTATCAGTTTTGCGGACAACGTGTATCAGTTTTGTAGTGTTTGGCGGTCGCTTCCTTGGGAATATCTGTTGGGCATCCAGATCGCCGCTAGATAGTGGTGAGTTGCCGCAGCCTGGAGAAGCTCTTGATTGGAGCCCCAGCCCTTGAACCCAGAAATACAAAGCAGACACAACAATCATTGAGGGATTAAATGGTGCCAGAAGGGAACAGCACGCCATATTGACAGTGTTGCTGTCAAAGTAGGAGGCATTGCAAAACGTAGACCTTGTGCACTCTTGCCCTAAGCCGTGCTTTTGACCTTCTGGTTCTCCCTTGGCAAACTTTTTGTCATGGCAAGAGGTGTTTTTGGGTCCCGAAGGGGCAACTGAGGAAAGGACTCAACCACATGCCGTTTGCTCGCCAAGCCGTTTGCTTTTGGCGAGCAAGCGGGCGTGCCAGGTCCAATGCTACTCAGAGGAGGCGGGGTTCAGCCGGAAGCCTCACGGAGAGAGTTTCCGTCTTTCGTTTGTTTTCAGGGGAAGACCTCTCTTTGGGGTGTGAAAGGGAAGCCCAAAACAAAACACATGTTTTTGTCTTCTTCTTTTTTTGCGGGGGGGTCCCAAAATTGGGAAGGCTCTCAGTTGCTGCCAAGGGTAGAGTTGTGCATGAAGGCCAGGCATTTCCCCCTACTTACTACAGCAAGTGAGTAGGTGTTGTGAGAGCCTTTTCACAACAAGGTGCAAAGGGAAACCAAGAAGGCAGGTCACAATTTGTCCCCCCCTTTGTTGTGGCGACCAGAGTGAGTTTAGGTCCGATGTCCGGTCAATTGAGGCGAGTGAGAACCACGTGTTTCCCGGTCACTCCAAATTGGGGTGCCTTGTCGCGTGGTCTATTAGTTTTTTTTTTTTTTTTGGGGGGGGCGTTTTGGAACTGGAAACGAGGCTCGACAAGGCTTCGAGATGCTTCCAAACCATAGGAGAAGGAGGTCTCAAAGATCATTGGAAACCCAAAACATCCTCTGAACCACAGGACGCTGCAGTTGTGAAAAGGCTAGGGCACATCTTGTGGCACGTTGCTGATGAGTTGCTGGAGACAGTTGCAGCTTGAGGTCATGTTTGCCTTCAGCCCCAGCCTTTCACAGGGTCACTCTCAGCTGGGCGTTGGAGTTCCGGGAAACGGCTGTTGCCATCTGCAATCACCTTGCAATGCAACGAGAGTTGTGGCTTCACCGAGCTGTTTGCCCGTGCAGGAAATGGGGCCAGAGGTTTACCTTTCGGGAAATCGTGGGGCACCTCAAAAAAGGGTCTTATGGGGTCCCTGTTTTCAAGGAAGGAATCGGTCAGAAGGCAACCCCCCAAAAAAGAGACCTAAACTTGCAGAAGGCTCTGGATGAGCTGTAGGCCCAACCCTTCCTCACGAGCGACGCTGTGAGAGGCTTCGTGGTCGCTGCACGGCCAGTATTGCTCCGCCGCAGGCGGATTTGTTGGTTTCTCCTTGGTCGCTTGTTGTCGGTTTTGTGGTGTGTGTGTGGCACGTTGTTGGCTCATTGGGGTTATGCTGTTAGCCTTTTGCAAATTGGGCATGTGTGGCTTGTTCAAAAAGTGGCTGCTTGTCAAGGGGCAAACCAAAGGGTACCGAGGTCCAAAACTGGGACGAGTTTGTGTTGTTTTGTTTCTTTTGTTTTTTGTTTGATTGTTTGTTTTTGCTTGCTTGCTTGCTTGCTTGCTCGCTTGCTTGCTTGCTTGCTTGCTTGCTTGCTTGCTTGCTTGCTTGCTTGCTTGCTTGCTTGCTTGCTTGCTTGCTTGCTTGCTTGCGTTGGTTTTCGTTGTGGCGGTTTGCGAGCGGCTTGTTTTGTTGTGTCTCCATGTTCGTTGATCGAGCGCCGGGTCTGGACCCATGCGCATCGAGGATTCCTGATCGCAGCTTAGAAGGGGCTTCCACGGGGCATGGAGTTGCGAGCCCACTTTCTTTTCGTCTGAAGGTCAGTTTTTTTTCTTCTCCGGAATTTCAGGGCTTCCCCATCTCAATTTCTCATTTCAGATGAGTGAACTAGACCATTCAGGCAGATGAAGCGGAGCGCCTGGAAATGAGTTTCTGGACTTGGCCCCTGTGATGTTTTTCCGCCGCCCGAAAAGGGAAGCCTGAGGTGTTGGTTTGGGAGAAAGACTAGGTGTCCTTTTTGGTTGTTTTGGTAGAAACATATTTAAGGGCTGCCGCCCAGTGCCGCCGACCCCTGGATTTAGTTGTGGTTTTGGAGCCACAAAGGACAGTGCCCTTGGTTTTGGTTTCTTTGGTTTCTTTTGGGTGAAATGTTAGTGGCCCCAAAAGGCTAATCTTGTATTTCAGGGTTTTGTTTGCATTTTTGAAGACACGAACAGGGACTGTGACTTGCTGGGCAACAAATGATCCCTGTCATGATGACTATCATCGTAGCATCCTCTGCATTACCAAGGGTGCCTAGCGATGATCATGACTACGCATCACTATCGAACCGGCACCTCGCCATTTGTGTCATTGAGATTTGGAGTCCTGCCTTGATGAGAATCATCACTACGCATCATTCGCAGCATCTGTGGCAATCATGAGGATAATCACCACTACGCATCCCCAGCATCTCCAGCAGCGATGATCATAATCATGACTACGCATCACTGTCGAAACGGCACCTCGCCTCAGATGCCATTTGGGTCATTGAGATTTGGAGTCCTGCCTTGATGATAATCATCACTACGCATCATTCGCAAGAAACCAAAGAAACCAAAACCAAGGGCAGTGTTTTTGGTTGCTCGAAAACCACAACTAAATCCAGGGGGCGGCAGCCCTTGAACAAGAATGAGATGATGATGAGCATCATGATGATGATGAGAAGAGCGATGACATCATAATAAGGATGATCATGATGATGATTATGATGATAACTATCATCGTAACACCCTTTGCATCACCAGTACTGCCTAATAAGAGATGACAATGGCCGTGATGATAATGATGACAAGGATGAGGACTGTGATGATAACCTTCTCATCATCATCATTATGATCATCATCATCTCATTCTTGTTCTTATTCTTTTTTGCATTTCAAAAGTAACGTCATCACTCTCTTCATGGTTATTATCATCTCTTAAAAGCCGGCACTGGTGATGCCGAGGATGTCATCATCATCATCTCTTATTAGGCAGCACTGGTGATGCAAAGGGTGTTACGATGATAGTTATCATCATAATCATCATCATGATCATCCTTACTATGATGTCATCGCTCTTCTCATCATCATCATGATCATCATCATCATCTCATTCTTGTTCTTACTCTTATATGCATTTCAAAAGTAACGTTAGACCCCATTGGCAATGCAGAGGATGCTACGACGATACTTATCAGTCCTCATGCTTATCATCACTATCATCATGGTTATTATCATCTCTTATTAGCCGGCACTGGTGATGCCGAGGATGTCATCATCATCTCTCACTGGTGATGCAAAGGGTGTTACGATGCATAATTATCATCATGATTCATCACAGTCCTCATCCTTATCATCACTATCATCATGGTCATCATCATCTCTTGTTGGTCGGCACCGATGATGCCGAGGATGCTACGATGATATATATCATCACAGCCCTCATCTTTGTCATCGTAATCATCATGGTCATCATCGTCTCTTAGTAGCCGGCACTGGTGATGCCGAGGATGCTACGATGATAGAGCGATGACATCATAATATGATGATGATTATGATGATAACTATCATCGTAACACCCTTTGCATCACCAGTGCTGCCTATGATGATGATCATGATGATGATGAGAAGAGCGATGACATCATAATCAGGATGATCATGATGATGATTATGATGATAACTATCATTGTAACACCCTTTGCATCACCAGTGCTGCCTAATAAGAGATGATGATGACATCCTCGGCATCACCAGTGCCGGCTAATAAGAGATGTAACCATGATGATAAAACGAGGACTGTGATGATAACTATCATCGTAGCATCCTCGGCCTCACCAGTGCCGGCTCGGGACACTTGAAACGTACATAAAAAGAGATAAGGACGATGACGAAGAAGATGATGATGATAAGCACCGTGATGATGCTGATGATGATGATGATGATGATGAACTGACATGATAATCATCATGACGCATCCTCAGCATCACCAGCAGTCATCATGATAATCATGTCCACGCATCTTCTGCATCTCAAATCGGGTCTAACGGGACACTTGAAACGTATATAAAAAAACCATCATCATCATCATCATCATCACGGTGCTCATCATCATCAGCTTCTTCGTCATCGTCCTTATCTTTTTTTATATACGTTTCAAGTGTCCCGTTAGACCCGATTTGAGATGCAGAAGATGCGCGGACATGATTATCATGATGACTGCTGGTGATGCTGAGGATGCGTCATGATGATTATCATGTCAGTTCATCATCATCATCAGCATCATCATCACGGTGCTCATCATCATCATCTTCTTCGTCATCGTCCTTATCTTTTGTGTCGAGAATGATGACTGCTGGTGATGCTGAGGATGCGTCATGATGATTATCAGGTCAGTTCATCATCATCATCATCAGCATCATCACGGTGCTTATCAGCATCATCTTCTTCGTCATCGTCCTTATCTTTTTTTATATACGTTTCAAGTGTCCCGTTAGACCCGATTTGAGATGCAGAAGATGCGCGGACATGATTATCATGATGACTGCTGGTGATGCTGAGGATGCGTCATGATGATCACCATGTCAGTTGGTGTTCATCATCATCATCTTCTTCGTCATCGTCCTTGTATAAAAAAATAAGGATCATGACGAAGAAGATGATGATGATAAGCACCGTGATGATGCGGATGATGATGATGATGATGATGATGATGAACTGACATGATAATCATCATGACGCATCCTCAGCATCACCAGCAGTCATCATGATAATCATGTCCACGCATCTTCTGCATCTCAAATCGGGTCTAACGGGACACTTGAAACGTATATAAAAAAAGATAAGGACGATGACGAAGAAGATGATGATGATGAGCACCGTGATGATGATGCTGATGATGATGATGAACTGACATGATAATCATCATGACGCATCCTCAGCATCACCAGCAGTCATCATGATAATCATGTCCGCGCATCTTCTGCATCTCAAATCGGGTCTAACGGGACACTTGAAACGTATATAAAAAAGATAAGGACGATGACGAAGAAGCTGATGATGATGAGCACCGTGATGATGATGATGAACCAAGAGACGATGATCCTCGGCATCACCAGTGCCAGCTAATAAGAGATGATGATGACCATGATGATAATGATGACAAGGATGAGGACTGTGATGATAACTATCATCGTAGCATCCTCGGCATCACCAGCGCCGGCTAGTAAGAGATGATGATGACCTGATGCTAGTGATGATAAGGATGAGGACTGTGATCATAACTATCGTTGTAGCATCCTCTGCATTGCCAATGGTGTCTAACGTAGCATCCTCGGCATCACCAGGGCGGCCCGAGACTTACCCCACGGGCCCAGTATCCCTAGCACTCCTTGTGCCGAAAAGTAAGGGGCTCATTTTTTGAGATAGCGCCCCCTGCGCCCAAGCCTAAATGAGTCCCCTGTGTGGCAGCTACAATGGGCCAGAGCGGGGCGTTAAGCCCCAATCTTCAGGGGCCGGGGGGGCAGTCATCATGATCATCATGTCCACGCAGCTTTTGCATGTCAAACCCTCTCTAACGCCACAATTGAAACGTATATCAAAAAATAAGGATGATGACGAGGATGATGATGTTGAAGGATATAGAAATGATGATGATGATGTTGACGATAAGAATGATGAAGGATCATATCGATGATGATGATGATGATGAGGATGATGATGGGCATCCGTATGATGCCAGTAGTCATATGCTTGCCTCAAAGATTAATCCATGCGCTTGTACTGCAACCACCCTTCCCGTGCGCCTCCCCCTTTGAGGAGAAGGGGTCGGCGGAGATGGCCCTGGTTTACCTGGTGGTTTAATCATCCAGGGCCATCTGTTTCCCCTAAAAGGACGCCTATAGGCGCCTATATGGACTGGACCGCCCGCTGTTCTGTTGCGAAGTCCAGATCCAAGATCACTTCATGAGTGCTTTCGCGTCAAACAGCCGCGTGGAAGACTGTAAGACCACCGCAAGAGCCCATCTTGCCAGGGTTCCTTTTTTTTTGACTACCCCATAGACTTAAACCCGCTTCTCCTTTTTGGGGTAATGAAGCATCCACCTCGTAGTCAACAAGTGGGGCCCTGCATCTCGCATCTTTTGCCGCACCACGAGTCCAACCGTCGCAGGCCTCGAGTGGACCTTGGGCACGGTGCTGGGCCATGCCAAGGTTGGCCCAGAGGCACGCGGCAAGCGGCGAAGAGATCCGGTTTCACAGAGAGAACCAAAGCTTAGAGACATCCACACCCAAGAGGTCTAGAAAGGAACCTCCAAGAAAGTGTTGAAGGCCTTCCGAAAAAAAAAATAGGGGCCTTTGCGTTCCTATCTAGGGCCCGTGTTATTTTTTGACTTCATGGTTTTGAAATCCTGGATTCTCCTTATGTTGTCCTCGCTTGTTCTTGTCCAAGAGGGTCACTCGGTTGTCAAGTCGCCATTTGGGTAGTGCCCCATTTTCTTGGTTGCTTTTTGGTTCGACCATCAGGAAATGACAGTTGCTTTAAGAACGAAGCGAATGTCTCTTTTTGTGTCTCACGTCAAAGCAACGCGGATCAATCGGATGTGATTCTTTTGGATTTCATATTCCGGCAAACAGTTTTACCTACATCCCAAAAGGGCAATCGTTTACTTGGGTGTGACTTTGTTTGGGACCCCCAAAACAGTGGTTTTCCTTTTGGTATCCCTTTAAAGCCACCTCAAACTGGGGTACCCTCAACGAACAACAACCCCATATGTTTGACTCTTTGCGGGGTGTCAACTGCCAATCCAGTTTCATGTTTGGTAACCATGCTGTTTCCCTGGAGTTTGCCAGAGGTCCGCCCTTGTTTCCCTTGGTAAAACGAGGGTTATGCGCTCAAGTGACTGCATTTTAAGGGGTGAGGCTTTGGCGGCGGTTTGCCCAGAGACGATGAGGAAGCCATCTCTAGGTCCCCCAGTAGTGTCCTTTCACCCGTTTTTGCGGGAGGGTTCCCCTTCTAAAATAGACTACAGAGGAAAGGGCACCCTTATTCTAACCTGTCTACTGGAGGACCTGGCCATGCTGGTTACATCCGTCCTGTCCCGATGTTGTGGGTGAGTTGAAGACGGGCAACTCCAAGTTCTGTAGTGCTTGTTTTGCTAGGCAAAGCGGTCCGAGGAGACCTGACCTTTTGAAGCTTTTGACCTTTTCTGGTTTCCCCACGTTGGCCAAGGCTAAAGGGTCAAAATGTTCACCACTTCTTAATTTCGCCTTATGACCAGAACTTTTAGAATACCCCCTAAGCCCAATTCTAGTTGTTGTAGGCCCTTACTATTAGAAGGCCCTTGCGATGGAGCGAAGTCCGACGCCGGGGCCCTCTTCAGCTGCGCTGCAGGAGATCTTCGGATATGCCGCGCTGCCGGCGGAAGAGAAGGCGCACGACCAGTGGACTCCCCTGCTTTGGAAGTTTTTGGTTCCATTGACACATGGTTGTTGGGAACCATTTTTTACATCTTTGCTTCTTGTGGTTTAGTGGTAAGGACATCCCCACTCAAATGCCAAAATTTGAGAATTTGTTGGCTCCCCTTCCACTGTCAACCAAGTACAGAGGCCTTCTGGGAGCTTCCATGTTAGTCTGAGGGAGTGTGCTCCCCTGCAAATTATCATGGAACCAGCAAAAGGTCCCCCAAAAGTAATCTGCAGTGGGCCAGGTTGATTTGAGGGGCGGATCGTTTTACACCAGCAAACCTCAGGAAGGAAGGAGGGGACATGTTTTCGTTCGGGAAATGAAAAAACACGGGCATGGAAAGCGATTCCGATTCCGATGAAGGCCCCGGCCAATTGAATGTTTCACGCGATGGATAGTACGGCCCACGGAACCGAACCTTTGGAGCAACCCTTTCAAGCAAAACGCGACCGAGGCTTGTTTTCGGCTTCCACGCATCTCCCCATCGGGTGGCTGCGTTCAGCGCTCGTTCCCACCGGGTGGCTGCGTTCAGCGCTCGTTCCCACCGGGTGGCTGCGTTCAGCGCTCGTTCCCACCGGGTGGCTGCGTTCAGCGCTCGTTCCCACCGGGTGGCTGCGTTCAGCGCTCGTTCCCACCGGGTGGCTGCGTTCAGCGCTCGTTCCCACCGGGTGGCTGCGTTCAGCGCTCGTTCCCACCGGGTGGCTGCGTTCAGCGCTCGTTCCCACCGGGTGGCTGCGTTCAGCGCTCGTTCCCACCGGGTGGCTGCGTTCAGCGCTCGTTCCCACCGGGTGGCTGCGTTCAGCGCTCGTTCCCACCGGGTGGCTGCGTTCAGCGCTCGTTCCCGGGTGGCTGCGTTCAGCGCTCGTTCCCACCGGGTGGCTGCGTTCAGCGCTCGTTCCCACCGGGTGGCTGCGTTCAGCGCTCGTTCCCACCGGGTGGCTGCGTTCAGCGCTCGTTCCCACCGGGTGGCTGCGTTCAGCGCTCGTTCCCACCGGGTGGCTGCGTTCAGCGCTCGTTCCCACCGGGTGGCTGCGTTCAGCGCTCGTTCCCACCGGGTGGCTGCGTTCAGCGCTCGTTCCCACCGGGTGGCTGCGTTCAGCGCTCGTTGATTGGATCCTTGGGCTTTGCGCCAAATCGCCAGGTGAGTCATGTGCTCAAAACCCGGGGAAGTGATCCGGTTAGTAAGGGACAATCCCTTTGCCATTAAAATAGCTGCGGAAATCCGGCTTAGTTCTTGAAGCATGGTCCTGGGATTTCGACTTTTAATACCGGGTTGTTGATTTTTGTTGGTTTTAAAGGGAAGCATGTTCTTTTTGTTTGGGGGGTGGGGTTCTCAAATTCCAAGACCCTCTTTTTTTGTGGATCCTTGGGCCGCTGCTTCTCGCCAGGTGGACGCGGTTCTGGCCGCAGCTTTGGCTGCCTCCGGTCGCGGGGAGGGCCGCCAACTGCAGCTCGGACGACAGATTTGGGGGGATATGATTGGGTGAATTCCTTTTGCTTAAATACATGGCTGTGGTTGTCAAAACCGTTTTGGGATCCCATTTTGGGGCAGGTGCACCACCCATTTTAGCCTATTTTAGTGGGGATTGGGATGTTCACTGGGGTCCCCCAGCCAGGTGCCCTTTCTCACCCCTTTTTTTGGTTGGGAGGGTTCCCCTACTAAAATAGACAAAGAAGAAAAAGGGTACCCTTATTCGAACCTCTCTACTGGAGGACCTAGATACATTTGCTCGAAATCATCAAGCACTGTGGATGCAGTTGCATACACAGGCGGGTTCTGACCAGTTCTCACCTTTTCAACCATCGTTCTGTCACAAAGCAGCCATTGTTTTCCGGGTTTGCGTGTGGGCTGACCAGCTTCACCTTTCGATTCGGTCCACGTTAGCCTGACCTCGGAACTTGGAGCTTCGCCTTTTGAGCCCATGGGAAGGAAACAAACCGATCGCCGGGTCCTTCCAACGTCCGAGAGAAGCCTTGGCCCAGTTGAGCATAGCGTCACCGATTCCGCCTAATGCTAACCCCGGATTAAGCAGACCCCCTGGTTGATTTTGATTGGGGGGGCGTCCCCCTTTTCGTGGGGATTCAGACCACTTTTGGAGGGGTTTTCACCCCCCTAATAAGTTCCCCAGAATTAGCTCCCCTCTTTGCTTTTTTGCTTTTTTGGGGTCCCTTTGTTTTCTACTAACCAGACAAAAAAAACAACTTTTTGCTGGGGTCCTAATTCCAGCCAAGATAATGGGACAGGTCTACTTAGATCCTGGGTCGACCTTGCCCGGACCTTCCCCGAGGCTCAAGCGGCTGCGGGGCTTGGACCAGGCCCGGCGCGCGCGGCTTGACTTCCCCGGAGCTTCTCCTTTGCCCAAGAAAAAGCATCCCACTACACGAAGAATGTGTATTCCTCACTCAGCTAAAGACACGCAGAATAAAGCGTAGAAGAGAGACTTAAAAACACCAACGAAAACAATAAGCACATAAAATATGTTAAGTTGATAATCATATTAATAATGACAATACAGATAGTGCAAAAAATCAATTGGCACTAAAGCACACACACACACACACATGGGTATGGCTCAAAATTAAAGAGCTGAGGTTACGCGGGTTTTAGTCTTTGGTTTCAGTTACCAGGGTTCCATTGCGGTACCGGTGTTTTGAGCCACAGCCATACCTTTTTATATATACATATACATATAATATCAGTCTTGAAAAGCATGTGCTACCAAATCAGTTCATTTTTTTCTGCATTGAGATGCACAGGTCTGCCAGGAAAGCCTCTGGATGGACAAGCAACGGGGGGTCCCATGATGTGACCTCAGTTGGCCGAAAGGTTGAAGCAACCCCCAGGACCTCTCGCTTTGATACTAGACTCAGTCAGAATAACCCTTGAGCTTTTTGGGGTGGTTTGAAACATCGCCCTTGGGCCCATTTCAGGTGAGTTTGTTTTGGTGGGGGTGATGTTTTCAGGGGAAATGTAGGGATTCCTGGAGTGGGCCGGCGAGTCTCTTTTTAGGGAACCCCCTCCCACAAAAAGAAAACAATCAGGAAGAACAAGCACAGAAATTCATGTGTCTCCCTTCGAAACCATTAAACAAACGGCACTATTAAGAAAAGACAAACCCATTCACTTCCACTTACAAAAAAGCAAACTTCTTACGGGCCGAAGTCTGGCCAAGTGTTGTGGCTTCTTGGGGATTGCGGGACGTGGGGACACTTGGGGCCCTATATGAACTTGCCACTTTGCCTGTTGGGGCCTTTGCCTTGGGCCTACGCCTTGCCTTGGGGCCTTGTGTTGACAAACTGACTGGAAACGCTCTGGATTCTCAGGCAAACCAATCTGCCGGGTTGAAGGTTAGTAAGGGGCAGTCGCCAGAAGTTGCGGATATCCGGGGTAGACCATTCGAATTCCGGGTTTTGATTGTGACTCACCGGTTTTTCCATCAGGAAACCCATGCTTCGGAGAGAGCCTCCCAGCCTCGCAGTTTTTTGCCGACACAGAGGCAGTTGAAATCAACGGTTTCCTCAGTTCCGCCAAATGAAACACATGGGTGTGTCTTGTTTTTTGAGGGCCCCCCCCATGTTTTGTGGCCTTTGCAGGGAGCCAAAAGGAACCCCACAATTTGTTGGGGTCCGATTCCGAACAAGAAGCACCCAACTCTCAACTCTCTTTCCGTCGCCCAAAATGACGACCTCCCCTTTTCGGGTCACGGGACTTCATGGAACCATACGGGTGGCTCGTCCTGTTTTGCGGGAATCGCAGCCCCCCAAAAATGGTGTATGATTGTTTTTGTGCTGGGAAAAAGCGCAGCCAACAGAGGGCTCCCCAAACACCAACAAACATATAAAACCCAGAAAACTGCAAGAGGGTCCCCTCCCAACCAACAAAAAACAAGAAACAAGAAAAGCAACAAGACACATCCCAAATCTGTGTTACCCCAACCAAAAAAGATCTAGAAGCAGGAAAAGCAACAAGACACATCTCAAATCTGTGTTACCCCAACCAAAAAAGAACAAGACGCAAGAAAAGCAACAAGACACATCCCAAATCCGTGTTACCCCCAACCAAAAAACGACAAGACGCAAGAAAAGCAACAAGACACATCCCAAATCTGTGTTACCCCCAACCAAAAAAATGACAAGAAGCAAGAAAAGCAACAAGACAACCCCCAACCAAACAACAAGACAAGAAGCAAGAAAAGCAACAAGGCACATCCCAAATCTGTGTTCCCCGAACCCAAAAAAAAGAACAAGAAGCAAGAAAAGCAACAAGACACATCCCAAATCTGTGTTACCCCCAACCAACAAACAGAACAAGAGGCAAGAAAAGCAACAAGACACATCCATAATCTGTGTTACTTCCAAACAAAAACACAAGAACAAGAAGCAAGAAATGCAACAAGACACATCCATAATCTGTGTTACCCCCAAGTAATAAACGACAAGAACCAAGAAACGCAACAAGACACATCCTAAATCTGAATAAGCAAGAAAAGCAACAAGACACATCCCAAATCTGTTTTCCCTCAACCAAACAAATTGAACAAGAAGCAAGAAAACCAACAAGACACATCCCAAATCTGTTTTTCCCCAACCAACAAATTGAACAAGAAGCCAAATCTGTGTCACCCCCAACCAACAAACAGAACAAGAGGCAAGAAAAGCAACAAGAGACACACCCAAATCTGTGTTACCCCCACAACAAGACACACACCCAAATGCGTGCTATTTTGTCCCCCGCTGCTTTGGCCCCGCTTTTGGTACGGCAGGATCTTCCGGCGCCTGCGAGCCCGCAGAGGGCCTGCGCGGTGTGCGGCCGCCCTGCCACCACCAGGACGGACGCGCCGGGTGTCTGGTCGCGAGTGGGCGGTTGCTTCCCTGTCAACTCAAACAAGGAGACCCTCAAAGAAACTGGGTGGCCTTCAAAGAAATCCGGCTCCTTAGCTTTGTAGGCTTTTAGGGTTTAGTGGTAGTTTCCATGTAACCCACTAAGATTAAACTGTTTGCAGGGGATCTGAGGGCAGCCCAGGAAAGAGCTTCCCTTGACTGGGGTTGGTCAGGTTTTGGGTTCGCTGGGTGTTGTTGCGTTGTTTTTGTTGGTATATTATTTTTTTTCAAAAGAAAAAAATCTACAACAAACATATTAAAAAAAATAGAGACCTTGGTTTTTTGTTTTGTTTTTAGAAACCCGGAAAGAAAGACACGCCCATGTTCCAAGTTGCTGGACCCTTTGGGTTCGGACCATGCTGGTGGCAAGCTTCTTCTGTGATCTCAGGAAGTGAGGTAGGGGACAAGAGTCTAAGAAAGTTTGAGGTGTGGATGTGGGACCTGTTCTTTTTCATGAGCCTGGGACGCCATGAGAGCTCGAGCTTTTTTCGTGTTTGTTTGAAGCTGCCTCAAGTCAGGACCTTTACACCGAAACAACACGTGCGTGGGAAAGCGAGTCGTTCTGTTTTTGCGGGCGTTGTGGTTGGTTTGAAGGGAAAGGACAAGGGAAGCTAGCGTGTTTTTTGCAGGACCTTGCCAGCTTTGCAGTATCAAAAGGTGTGTCCCGTCAGAGTGGGTGCTGAAAACATTCCCCTCAACAAATCAATCATCAGGTGAATTGGTGGTAGAGGGTATTTGGGAAACCCTACAACACCTCCAAACCAACCCAAATCACCAATTAGCCAAAAGCTGACACCATGAGTTTGCTAATTCTGGGTTCCGCAACCAAGACAATCCCCGTGGCAGCATAGTCGTAGGGACCAGCCCTTGTTTTCTTTTGTTGCCTTTAACAAATCTCGGTTGCTCCCTAAAAGCATAGAATCGGGGATTAGGTAGGCACTCAGGTCTGCTTAGCGAGTACAATGCGGGAGAGAGGTTTCGGGACCACCACAAAGGGATTCCTTTTGGATGGACGTTAGCCAAAGGAATCCCCTTGCAATCCGGTGTGGCTCAACATTTAAGAGCCACCGGACCGTAGGGTTTAGTCTACTTGTTCTATTCACCAGGGTTGCACTTTGAGTACGTACCTATTTTTGACCCACAGCCAAGTGATCAAGTTGTCGGCTGTGATGGAAAGAAATCAGGAGGATCTCACCACCCTACTTTGAATCAGCTTTCCCCTGAGGCAGAAACATGTCCTTGCAACCCTTTCCCGGCGCCCACGTAACCGACATGGCTCCAACATATACCGGCCGACAGGGTCGGCCTCTCTTTTGAACCCCGCGGTGTCCCCTATGTTTTCCATTCGAATGTGACTCAAGTGGCTGGAAATGAGGGGTTGGTTCTTAATGACCTCTTTGATTCCAGAGGATTTTGGTTTGGTTGTGACCCCTAGCAAGGAGCAATGAATACCAAGGGCAGACCCTTGCAAACGATGATCCAATGTCAGGAGATGGCCTACTGTGGTGAGGATGATGGTCCACAACCATGAAAGAGAAGTTTTGCATTTCCAGGTCAATTTTTTCCGGTCAGTTTGGGGTTTAGGGCATTAGGCATACCAAACGTGAGCCGCCCAAGCCAGGGGGGGTTGCATAGGCTCACCAAACGCCAAAGACAGGGGGTTCACTGGTGTTTTTTCCCGTATACTGTAGCACCGCATGTTGACCCTGGCGCATTTCCTGCAACGAAGGGGATAGCGCGCCTGGTTAGGTCTACTCAGTGTCACAGCCAAGTTTGCCTCGAGGCTTCCTGACATGGCCCCCGTTCGGTAGGTTTGAAACGTCACTTCTTGCCCTTTAAGGTGAGCTTCCTTTGGCTGTCGTGTTTACTCTGCAAATGATCATGGAGCTCAAACACCATCGGGGATCTCGTTTTTTGTTTTGTTTTTTGTTAGTGTTTTGTTTCTGTTTCTTTGGCGCTGAATTAGGAACCCAGTGTTTTTGGGAAGCTCCTTTTGACGGTCTCCCCGGTGTTTGGTCAGCGCCAGGTGTGGGCGATGCCGCCAGCCTGCCATGTTTTGAAGATGGGATGTACTGCAGGGGATTGTGCTTTCAAGAGACCCCCCGCCTTCTGTGTTTTCATTTTGTGTTTGTCCTTCTTTTATTTGTCATCTTCTTTGTTTATTCTTTTCTTCTTTTCTTCCTTTCTTCTTGTCTTCTTGTCTTCTTGTCTTCTTGTCTTCTTGTCTTCTTGTCTTCTTGTCTTCTTTTCTTCCTTCTTCTTATTTGTTTGTCAAGAACCAGGCGAGTTGTCTCAAAAGCCCCCCCCCCCCCTGGCCGAGCTGACGGCTCCCATCGTGGCTTTTCGTGACCAGCACGCAGGGGAGCTTGCGCTCTGCGGCGCCGAGTGCCGGAGCCTTTGAAGGTGTAAGCGTAGAGAGGTGTGGGTCAAAACGAAGAATGGGATCCCATTTTGGGGTTTTCGGCGCACCTTTCCATTTAGAACCTATTTTAGTGGGGATTGAATCGGATATTCACTGCGGGTACGGGATTTTGACCCATGGCCATAAAAGTGTGAGTCAAAAAAAGGGTAATTAAGCCCAACATGGCTTGCTCTGGAAGACTCAAATCTGCGGTCCATATCCTGGTGGTTTAATTTTGACCCATACCCATATAGTGAACCTGAACATGTAAAACATCTGGACGCCCAGATAGTTCCAGACGTCTGGATATTTGTTGAAACCATTTTTCTTTGTACGGTTCACGGAGGGACCAGAATCAAACATGTTGCTTTTGGTCGGGTGGCAAAAGCTGACGGTGGACATACATGCCCATGTAAATCATGTTCACCAAAGAAGCTCCCTGCGCCACTTTAGGTGGCTCTACTGGCGGTTTTCGTGGGGGTTTCTAGTAAAGCCTGTAAAAAAAAACAAAAACATTGTGACCTTCCTTATAGAACCGCGTTTCGAGGGGTTTTGGGCGCTGCTGAAACCGGTTTGTTTGAGGTAACTCTGGCTTATGGGTTTTTCGATACGACTTGCCCAAGAGGAAAGAGGTGATAGGTCCCCCCACTGTTTGGAGGGGAACCTAAGAAAGCCAACGGCTTGAATAGAGAAACATGCATGTATGTGTGTATGTGTGTGTCTTTGTGTGTATGTGTGTGTGTGTGTCTCTGTGTGTGTCTGTGTGTCTGTGTGTGTGTGTGTCTGTGTGTGTCTGTGTGTGTGTGTGCGTGTCTTTTTGTGAGTCGGACCCTCGCGAAAAAGAAACACCGGGTTTCCTTTTGGCTTTCCTTTCAAACCACTAGAGGGTACCCTCACAAAAAGACAGGCCATCCGTTTTTTTCCAACAAATGGAGGTATCTGGTTCCCGGGAAACCAACGCCATGAAGAAAGACAATGCTAGATTTTCCCTTCTTCTCAGCTGTATCTTTGGGCGGGCTACGGAACAAAAAAGGTACCAACTTATTCTAACCTCTCTGCTGGACCTAGCACACTGCGCCTGCTTTCTGAAGGTTTCAGAAAGCGCTTGTGTATGTGTGTGAGGGCTGGGAGATCAATTCCCTCAAAGGACCCCATGTCAGTTCGCTGCACGACCTTTTCTCTGACGGTCAGAACGACACACCAGATATGGACGCATCTGCATTTGTTTGCCCCTTGCTGCGTTGGTTCCCTTGCGTCTTCCCTGATGATCAAGCTACCTGCTGCATGATATGCAACCTGCAGGAATATGCCCACCCACCTCTGAGCGAACCTTTCCTTCCGAGACGAGAGCCAAACTGGTGACAGGGTGCCGAAGCACCAGCGCACTTGGGTGACAACAAGGTGGCAGCGCAGCTTGCCCAAGATGGCTATGACGTCTTCCTAAAGCCCGTTGGAGATGCTTGGGCAAGATCAAGTTTCCTCAAAACGTGCAAGCCAGGTAGGTGGGTTTGGCGCCAGAAAGGCCGCAGGTGTTGATCATGCTTTCCTTTACCCAACGCGTTGGGTGCCCCGTAGTTTTTGAGCCACAGCCATGCATGCTTGTTTTCCAAGAGCGCGGCCGGGAGAAAGTTGGCGCTCCTTTTAGTTTCCCTGCAAAGCCAGCCTGAAACGCCCAAGATTTGTTTGGCAGACTTGGTTGCATATAAGCAGGCCAATTCTCTGGGAGTGAGTCTGAGCGAGTGTACCCTCTCAAAAGCCCAGACCAACATATCCTGAGCTAAAAGCCGAAAGGAAGCTGAACCCCGGGACCCAACCCAGACACGGTGCAACCATGGCCCGTTTTGGGGGCGACCTGTTCATGGGTTTCCACGTCAAAATTTTCACAGGTCGACTCCCCAAGGTCTCTTAGGGGATCGCAATTCCTTGATCCAGCCTCGCAGGTCTCCACATGCTCAAAACTGGAGCCCGGGCTGTCTCTCCTTTTCTGAGGGTGTCCTCGTTTCGGGTGGGCGTTTTGGGAAAACCGGACGTCTTTCGCTTCTTTATGCTCTTTTTTTTTTTGTGTGTGTGTGTGTCTGTGGTGCGTATTTGACTCACAAACACACACCCGCAGCTTTTGCATGTGTGCATAGATACGCTATTTAGGGTGCCAGGGTTAAGACTTGTTTTCACATACGCTGCAACCGCCACTTCAAGCGTCTCAATCCCGAGGCCAGCGTCGCTCCTGGCCGGAGCACCGCAAGATTTGCGTGGCGAAAAAGCGAGCGCCACTTCGTGTATCTCGGAACCGGGGCATGGCAAGGGATTTCTTCCAGCCCAGTGGATTCCGCTCAATTGCTTTTCTCATGTATGGGGGCTCCCGTTGAACAAAACTCAACCAAAACAGGATGCTCGATTTTCCCACGGCCACTGGGCGTTTGGGTTCTGGTTTCCCTTGAAATCAACCTTTACTTGGAATTGGTAGGGGGATTGTCATCAACCTCGGACAAATCGGGGAACCAGGTCCCAATTTGGAGTTTTGACCACATGTTGGTGCTAAAGAGAGGGGATGCTGGGCTTCCATTTTTTGCGGAGCAAGTAGTTAGCCAGGCCAAAGCCCCTTCGCAAGAGATCTGCAAGTGGGTTATAACCCAGGCCACCAGCCACTTGGTATGTTGGGGCCGCTGTTGTGGAGGGAAAAGTATATTTAAGTTTCTTGATTCTGGTCCAGGGAGCAATAAAGCAATCCTGGATTGGTCTTTGAGCCGGTCTTTGAGCCTTCCCTGATGGGTGATGTCGGTGGGCTTCCTTGTGAGCTTAAATAGGATGCGATCTAACCCCAACCAGCCCGGCCAAAGGCAAGTCCCTCTCCCTAAATCCAGAAGAATCGTCGGTCATTTTGGTGACAGATGCTCACTTTCATTTGAAACATGAAGCCTCGACAGCGGACCAAAGGGAGACCGAAGGCCGTCTTCGTGGTAAGGCTCAGGATCAAAGAACCCATTTGTTTTCTTCCGAAAGAGGGCGCAATTGCGTTAGGTACCCTTTAAAGTGTGCTTTGGAGTTCCCACCCAACAAAATGCTTTGAAGAGGCGTACCACCCTGTTCTGATCCAGACCAAAAGGAGACCAACGCCCATTTTTGTGGGCGTATTTTTCCTGTAACTGATTTCCCCAATCCGCTGCCGCTGTTCTCTTTGATCTCTGTGTGAAATTTTGGTCTTTATGCCACTTTTTGTCCGACCTTAGTGATACAGGGATGCTCCATCTTGGTATCACTGCAAGGGTTATTCCCCAGAACGATGGTTTTGAGGTGATTTCTTCTGGGCCCTTCAAGCGGAGACCGAAGCCAGTTGCTTTTTTCGGATGCTACGCTCGGTGGATGCTATGCTCGGTTCTCCAAACCGAATCGAGCTTTTTCACCTTTGGGCTTCCTTGATCAGGGCTCCTTACAAGAAATACATTTTGCCCATCCATTTGAAACATGTTGCTTTTTCAACACCAAAATACAGAAATGGACACCACCATTTACAAGTTGCAATGTTCAGGTGTATAATGCATCCGGATCCCTGTTGATTAAGGTCCATGAAAAAGGCGGCTCCGAAAGGAGATCACGAATCTTCTTTTCAGGTCCTTGCAGCTGTTTACAAGAACCCTCGTTTTTCTTCTTCCAGGGGGTTTTATCCCACACATCTGGGCGGCTTTCCCTTCAATTCGGTCTTTAACCAGGCTTTTTTTTATCCCACAGACAATTTGGCGGCTTTTCTTCTTCAAGGCAATTCGCTTTCGTATGTAAATCATGGTCAGGAAAAGGACGCAATCACTCAAAGCAAGCCCCTTGAAGGGACCAACAAAGAACACGCCCAGCCAAAAGACACCATGGTGTTCTGATCTGCGAAAGGATGAGTTGTGTACAAGTTCTAAACCAAACCCATGCATCCACGGTTGTTGCTGGGAAACATCTTACATTTTTACTTATTGTGGTTTAGTGGTTGAATTCCAACCACTTCACTGCTAAAGTTTGGATTTTGGTCCCCTTCCAACGTCAACCGAGCATGTACAGTCCCCGCAAGGCTCATGCGATCCGAGCAGCTTCGATCAGATGGCTGTGGGTCAAAATCCAAATCGTACCCCCAACCAACCAAAATGGTACCATTGGTTTTGACCCACAGCCATGTGTGTGTGTGTGCTGTTGAAGGGTACCCTGTTCAGGGTTGTAAAGGGAATCCAAGAGTTCGTCTCTTCCGCACCTTTTTCCGCAATCCCAAAATGGTAGCATAGGTTTTGACCCACAGCCATATCCACAGGTGTCCTTAAAACAAAACAAAACATAGTCAAAACCCATCTCAACCAGTGCCTTCTATTTGTGATCTCACCAACCTAAAAAGGACACCCACTGTGGATGCACGAAATCCATTTCGCACCACCTCAGAAACCATGGTTGAATTTATGGTTTGTTGGTAAACAAAAAACACGTTGGGAATCAGAAACCAGAAGCCAGAGCCCCCTGGCAAATGGGATCCCAAAACCGGTTTTGGAGCTCTTGGCGGGCCAGGCGGAGCTGCAGTCCTCCCGGCGCCAGTCCAACCAGACCGAGGCGAGAACTCCCCGCTCGATGATGGTCGAGTCGAGAGTCGAGTCGAAGCGTCGCGGGCCCAGTGGAGAGAAGTGGTCCGGGCGGTCCTCGGGGATTTTCCTCTGGCAGCAATGCTCCATTTCTGGGAGCTGGCGCTGGTTTTCTCAACTCTTTTCCTGAGTGGTGGAACTTGGGCCTCGAGTTGTGGCGGAGGTGGTATCGGTTTGTTGGGGTGTTTTCAGACATGTGGGGGGGGGCAGAAGGTTGCAGGGTCCAGTAGAGGACCAATTGATTCAGCGCATGCTGCTGAGCATTTGGTTGGGTTGAGCATAAGGTTGGGACCACTGACCGCCTAAACATGTGAAGGGGGGCCTTGTCGACTGTTTGTCGACAATTTTCATCTCGGCTCCATGTATCCCTTGCCATCTGTCCAATGTGCCAAGGTTTTGGTGAGACATAGTTGAGACCGCGTTTTTTTTTTGGTGTTTGGATTGGTTTGGATGTGGGTTTGAAGCGCCTGGTTGTTGTAGAGGGTTTGCATGGGAAACCGCCCCCGAACCGCCAAACATCAAAGCACCAAACATCAAGCCACCAACTAGAGGGGCGCTGAATCCATCGTTCGGTTGGGAAGCCATCGGTCATTCCGGGATTTTGGAGCAGTTTTCCAAAAAGAAGGACCCCTGTGCTGCATGTCAGCCCAAGCAAAGTGATTATGCTACGGGCTGGATTCGGGGAAGTACAGTTCGGATTGTGTCAACAGTTGCTTGTCCACAACTTGTAGCCTTGCTTTTGAGGCACGTGCATGGATGCGAGGGGAGCGACTGAACAGTCTGCCTAATCTTGGTGTGTGATACCCTAAGCCCGCCCTAAACCCACTCCCTAGACTTACCCTCAGCCCGCCCTAAACGCCTAAACCCACTCCCTAAATGCCCCAAGCCCGCCTTAAACCCACGCCGACACCGACTAAACGCTTCCTAAATACCTTGAGCCCGCCTTAAACCCACACCCGCGCCTAAACCTACCCTAAGCCCGCCCTGAACCCACTCCCCAAATGCCTCCATGAGCCTTTTTGACTTAGATATCGCTGGCTTCGGGGATTGGCCGCGGCTCTTGTCGATCCAAGTCCCCGGTCCGGTTTTCGTCTCAGACTTTCTTCCCAGAGCCCCAGTCGTTTGAGAAACGAGCAACAGTTGAACAACGTTTGCTTCTGAAAAATGCATGGTTCAGGTCCCCCTTAATTGGTGTTTTCGATTGGTTTGGATTTGAACCCTGGGTTCACAATCGAACATCAAACCTTTGGTGCATTTTGTTTGGATGTTAGTTGACTTTAACTTTTTGCCAACCCGTGGGTTTTCCGGATTAAGCCGCTAAAAGTGAGACACTTTTAGCAGAGCAGATTTCGCAACCGAGAAACCCTCGAGCTCTTCCTGTCGGTCGTCCAAACCGCCCAAGTTGCGCTCAGGGGCGCCTCAGCTTGGCCTCGGCCCTAAGGGAGGGGCAGCGGCTTGGAGTTGGAGATGGGCACCTTGAAACGCCCTCGAAAGATCTGCGCAAAATTCTGCCAATGTTCTAGCAACCGAAGGGGGGGAGGGGTTTTGAAAGGGTTTCTACGACAGCCCTCGAAAGATCTGCGCACAATTCTGAGAAATGGCTGTGGTTGTCAAAACCGTTTTGGGATCCATTTTGGGGTTTTCGGCGCACCACCCGGTTGAGTCGGGATTTGAGTAATTGGGATGTTCACTGGGAGTACTGGCCAAATGTTCGAGCAACCCGAGGCAAGGAGGCTGTTTTTCAAGGGTTTCTGCGACACATCCGTTTTTATCACGGCACTGAGAACCGGTTGAGATTCAGATCCGCCCCTCCGGGTTTTCCTCGGCTAGGTGGGGTTGGTGTGTTGACGGGTTTTGACCTTTCAGGGGCCCGTATGAACGGGTTCTGAGAAGCAGCCAGCTGTGCATGTAGCATCGTGTTGGAACGCACGTAGGTCCAACAGACTTCTTGGCCACGCGACCTTCGACGAACACTCTAGTTAGCGCAATCGGGATGGCTTTTCGGGGACATGTCTGGGAGGTTGAAGTAGTCGTGGGGATGGCCCACCTTGGTATCACAGAAACATGCCCGACATGCCCTGGTCAATATGCTTTGGGGTCGCAATTCCGCGAACACATGTATTTGCGTAAGTGCAATACACGCATGCCTCGTGCAAATGTTTAAGTACAGCGCATGACAGTCACACACATATATATATATATACATATATATATATATATGTATATATATATGTGTATATATATATATATATATGTGAGCATGATATCTAAACATACATGAATATCTAAGACAGTTGCCGGTATGCAAATAGTGGCCCGCACCTAGGCGCAGAGCGAGCGAGATCGATTGCAGGCACAGACCCGAGGGTTGGGAACGTATGGGGTGATATTTTGTTGAGGAGACAAAACGCAAACCCATTGTTGGGGTACCCGTATGTCGCCCATCCCCATGGGTGTGTCATTCTTGGAGGGTGTCCCTTTTGGGGCGGGAAACCAAAAACGGCCATGGGGTCCCAATCCGTGCTCGTTGGTTTGACGAACCGCCAGACATTTTCGCAACTGTTTAAGGTTTGTTTGCCCTGAGTGTTCGAAATTTCACGCAAAAATAAAAACAGAGCCACAGGTGTCCGACTTGCTGGGATTAGACACTGCCACTCGCCTTGGGACGACTGGACGTTTTCGGAAATGAAGCGAAATTTGCTTCTAGGCAGAGAAAACACAACCTACTCTTACTCAGTCCGTTTTTTGTGATTTTTTCGAGGGGTGCTCAAAGTTACGTCTTGGGGCCGGCTTCTCTTTCGACCACCATTTAGAGGCCGCGGCAGTAAATATGGAGGTTGCATACGGAGATCGAGCTTAGACGGGTTGCATCACCTCTACCCATCCCGGACAGTTTCAACTTGGGTTACGAAACTTTGGGGTATTTTGCTTGGCTGTTAGGACTTTAACTTTTTGCCAACTAATGGGTGTTCCACTAGACCACTAAAAGTTAAACTTTTAGCAGGGGAGCAGAGAGCAACCGAGGAAAGGGTTTGGTTGTTTTTCTGAGTGGTTTGCAGAGAAGTTGGGCTCATTCTTTGGCCGGTTGCAGGGGATCCCTCAATTGTTCAAGTAGCCCTCCAGGAAGTTTTCGAAATGTTGGGGTTGCTGGGAAAACCACTTGCAAGGGGCCAGGAAAATAACCAAGCTGCAAGCAGCTCTAATTCCAAACGAGGTGGCGGGGAGTTTGGTTTGGTCTCGGCTGTTGGAAGACACATGAGTGTTGCAGTTTCCATTGCCATTTGGGTGTGTGTGTGTGTCTTTTTTGGGGACCCCTTCCCCCCCCCCCCTCAGAGCGGATGCGAGGTCGGGGGCGTCCTCGCCCACCCACGCCACGGGCTTCTCCTGAAGCCAGGCCCCCCCCCCCCCAAAAAAAAAAACAAACAAACACAAAAACAACAAAGAAGAACACCTCGAGTTAACCTGCTGGTTTCCCGTCGGTTTTCATGTTTTTTTTTGTTTTTTGTTTTATCCCTTTGTTGTGCCAACCTGCCCTTGCTCAACGGCCATTTCGGCATTGGCGCCTGCGGGGCTGCAAGACACCCCCGCGGAAAACAGGGGAGTCGTGGAGGCGGTTGGCTTCCTGGTGGACATGGTTGTTGTTGTCAGGTGTGGGATTGGTCCGTGTGCGCTTGGTTGCTTTGCTGGTGCGCTCTTCTGCTTTGCTGCGTGGGCTGCTTGCTTCCGCTGCCCGGGAGGGGGAGCCGAGGGTCTTGGGATGTCTTGGGACTTGGGATTTGCAGTGTCTCTTTCTTGCTCGGCTTGGGCCTGTTTTCCCCCCTCCCGAAACCTTCGCACCATCAAAGCCGCCAAGCAAGGGGTACCCCAAAGCCAGGCCAATGTTTTTCCGTTTCCCGTTCTCCAACTCTGGCCAGGCGCTCGCTTGGCCCCCAGAAAATCAGAAGCTGCGCTGGGTGTGGCAAGTTTGGGGGATCTTATTGTGGATGGACAAAGCCCTGCACCACCTAACAATCCTTGGAATGATGATTCCCTGTAAATGCCAACAAGCAATGGGTTTCCCATGGTTCAAACAACCACTTACGGGGAAAGGTGTTCAAAGGGACACCGACAGTGACACGTTCCACATCCCAAGTTCAATTTCCCACAAGCCCCCAGAGACGAGCTCTTTTTTGCCATGTTTTGGGGGAACAGGACAATGGTGGTTGTTTGCGCCATTTGGGGGTGTTTTTGATTGAGGGCACACCCCTCTTGTGGTCTTAACGGGAAGCCAAACAAGAAGGAAGCACGTGGCAAAATTCACCATGTTTGTCCAGATGCATCAATGGGTCGGTCCAGTACGTCTGGAATGCGTTTGCCCCCTTTTGCAGCGGATTGTTTTGCTCTGATGAGGATTGTGCAAAATCAGAGTGACAATGTCGTTTAAACTTTGCATTTGTCAGGTTAGATCTTTAACCTTTAACTCTTGAACACGCATCACCGGCGTTCGTCGTTAGCATGCTTCACTTTTCGAGGAGCACCCTGCGCTTGATCCGCACGCGTGGAGGTGGACCGCCAGACGACTGGCTAAGCCTTAGCTTCGTAGTTCCAGGAAGTTGGGGGTTTTGATGTCCCGTGTTTGCCCACTAAAGTGTTTGTCCATGGGCAGCGGGCTTTCTTTGTGAGCTATTTGCTTGCAATTTGCGGTTTGGTGTTGGCCGACCGCCCGTTTGTTTCGTTTGGTGCCTTCGGCTTCAGGATTTTGAGCTGGGCAAGCAAGATGGGTGCTTGCCAGAATGGCTCCACTGGCGGGCTTCCTTGAGTTGTTTGCGTGGGCAACCACTACACCACTCCACAAACGGTCACACGGAACCCCCCAAGACGCCAACTTGGACCCCGAAATTCCAGAGCACAACCCTATTTGGGGCCTATTTTGGGGGCCCGAAATGTCAGCTGCGAATCGAATAAAACCAACGCGCCCCTTTTGGCGTTGCCCAGGTGGATAACCTGCGGCAGCAGGTGAAAGGCTCCGATGAGGCGAGCCTGAGCAGGGGACGAAGCCGCCTCTGTGTTTTTCTTGTTATTTTTTTCGGAGGGTGCCCTTTTTGCCTTGCCTTAAGGGGACACCAAAGGGGCATCACCATTCTTGGGATACTTCTATACTGACACGGTCGCGCCTGGCAATTCTGAGGGGGCAAATCCTACAAATGGTTTACTCGGTTTGTAGCCCCCTTTTGACTGAGGCGGCTAAGAAAGAGAGAATTATATACTGACACGTACCAGCCTTTTGTTGGCGGTCCAAACTGACACATACCCAAGGGTTATCAAACGAACAGTTCCATCAGCTATACTGACGGGTTTTCCACGGATGTGTCTTCAAACAGTGCATTCGGACCGTCAAACCTAGGCCACCAAGTCTGGACTGGTTTCCCGTTTTTGATCAGTATATGTCGGCCAGATTAATCCATCACCCTCAAACAAAGACACACTTGTATGGGTGCTGGAGGTTTGGAACTTGCAAGCTGCTTGTACAAGGAGTCCTGCTTTGCAAGCTTAAAAAAAGGTCGTATATGAGCCTTCATATCTCCTGATATATAAAAACACATATTCCTCACAATGTCATTTCAAAGGCTACTATAAAACAACCCTCGACCAATCCCTGTCCCTTCTTGCCAACCTGCTCAATAGTCGCCAGCGAAACCTGCGTTGCGGTCTTCTGGACCCGTTCTGCTCCCAGGTCCTTTCTGGCGCTTCTCCTCTCGCAGATTTCCCCTTCCCCCACCACTCCGAGCAGAAAACCGGCATATCCCCCTGTGGCGACATAATCTCCGCTTCCCCCACCACTCCGGGTATATCCCCCTTGAGTGGCTGCATCCGTGGCTGTAATGTTGACCCAGGATTAATAAGCCCGTCCCATTATCTTCTGGGGTGTTCCCTCCAAAAGTGGTCTGACTCCCCACTAAAAGGAATTGGACACCCCCCAATCAGAATCAACCAGGGGTTAACATCATTTCCCCTAAAGCCCAGCTTTGGTCGAGTGGACTCCACGGATCTCGGGCGGGGCCTCGGACCAGGCGCTGGCGGACGCCATCAAGAGCAACGAGGCACGGCGTCCGGGACGCGGCCCGGCGGGGCGGGTTTGAACGGAACTAGGACGTCGCCCTGCAGGAAAAACGCGGCATCTACTAGTGAACAACTTCGCGGCATCGTCACTGGTAGGTGTTCTGCAGGGTGTTTTGTGGATTTTTCCAGGACATGTACTGGCGACCCCTGGTACAAGGCAGTGTGGTTCAAAATGCTACTTCTGCATCACAAAGCAACCTGGGACACTTTAATGATTATTTTCACTTGGCGATCCCCAGCCATATGTTCGGACTTTTGGCTTGGAACCCTAAAAATTGGTTCTCTTTTTGGTTGTTTTCTAGAAAAGCGTCTTTTCCACACCCAGGAACACCCCTCAACACATCAACTGGGGTTGATTCGTCTGAGGTTCCCACTCCCCCGCAAGAAAAAAACTCCCGGCCTTGCAGCTTTCAGGTCCCCGGGGTTGGTTTCGCGGTGGCAAGCCCCGTATTGATTCCTCCCCCAGTGGTGCCCTTCTCTCCAAGGTTTTTGTTTTTTGTTCTTTTTGATTAAAGTAGACAAAACTGAAGAAAGTTGGTACCAACTTCTTCTAACCTCTCAAATCTGGAGGACCTGGTCTTTCTCACCGCTAAAAGCAAAACATGTTTAGCAGGGGGCTGAGGACAGTCCCGGGGCTTCGCCACCTGGCTCTCGGAAAACCAAAGGGTTCCTTGACACAAGGAACATCACGAGAATTTCAGAGGGTCCAGCCCAAGTGAGCCCCCAATAAGGCCTTCTGAAGGGCTCAATCAGGGCTCCCTCCCCCCTCTCCCTCCCCCCCAGCCCGCTGGGCTCCCTACATTTCCGGTTTTTAAACATCACCTTTGTGGCCCATGAAAGGTGAGTGTTTTTTGGTGGGATGATGTTTTAAGAGGAAATATAGTTAAATTTAGGGAGGTCATGAGAGGACAGTCCAGCAAAGGATGGCCATCGCTCAGTTTTGCCCCACGCGCTATCGCCAGGCACTTCGAGAGCAAATGGAGCTGCAGCGTTTGGATGCGCAGACGGCCTGCGAGCCCGGCGCCCAAAACGGTGAAAGTGGGTTATCAGGTTGGATGGCCGTGGCTTTTGTTGGACCCCGCCCAAAATGATGTGGCCTTTTCCCCAAGATGTCCATTGAAAACCAACTAAGGGTTTCCCTCAAAGAAAGACCTACCCAGAATGGTGGTTTCCGCAAGGTTTCGAAAGAGCTTAGGGGTTCCCTCAAAGAAAGATCTGGCAAAAAGGTGGGTGGGCCCATTTTGAAGGAAACCAAAGGGAAACCGCAGTTTTTGGGGGTCTCCCTTTTTTAAGACTTAAGAAGGCAAGAGGAGTTGAATTTGAATGATTTGTTTAATTTAGTTACATTCGGGGTGTCCTTTCCAAACTTGATTTGCTTCGAGTTAATTGCGAGTCAAATGGCATTGGGCAAACAATACGCACACACACACACCCTTTTGGAAGGAACAGACCTGATTTATGGGTGTGTGTCTTGTGGTTGGTTTAGCGCAACATGTTGGAAAGTTGTTTTTGGATGTATCCTTTAAAGGAATGACGTTTTGCGGTTGGGTGAAATTGATCCTTTGTTTTGGTACCTGGCTCTTTTGTTGGACTACGTGAAGCTTTTGTTGGTTTCTTCCTTGGTGGCGAAGAAAGGCATTGGCGAAATGAACTCCCAGGGGAGGTGAAGGTTAGGAAGGGACAGTCCCAGCCAGAAATAGCTGCGGAGATCCGCCTTAATTCTTGAAGCATGGTTCTGGGATTACGACCATTTTAATACCAGGTTTTGATTGTCACTCTGGTGTCTTTGTTCGTTGGAGGAGGTTCCCTCTTAACACTACCAACAAAGACGCGCCCTTTTTCTCCCGAAACCCGTGGGGAATGAACTGTTTGGCGCGCATGGCAAGCGAGGCGGGACCTGAAGATGTGGCGGGACAAGTTCCAGCAGCACTTGGAAGATCAGGACGCCTCTGTCCCAAAACCATAGGTGTCCTTTTTAGATGAGTTTGGTTAAAATAGAAGGCACCGGTTTGCCAAAACGGTGGAGAGCCAGTTGGTTGGTGTTTGAAGGGAAGACTGACATATACCCAACGGGTTTTAGAGGACCACTATTTAGAGGACCACTTTTTAGAAACAGCTACCACTTGGCTTTCCGGGTGCCACTTTTTCGGGCTTGTTTAAATGGCAATTAAAGGCCGCACCCATAAGGATGGCAGGAGTTGAACAACCCAGCTACACCTGAACTTCTTTCAGGGAACCTTTGCCCTTTGAGTCTCTTTAAGACACGCGGCTTGGAAGAACACTAATAAATTGGCACCGCGCTTTTTGAGGTGAGGCCAAAAAATGGCGTTTTCCACCAGTTTAAGCCAACCATCCTTTCCCTTGGTGTTTTTTTTTGAGGGGGGGGGGGGTCAGGAGTGTTTTTTTGTTTTTTACACCTCTGGGTTGTAGCATCTGGGTCTTTGTCCCGGCTTTCCAGGGGTGCCAGGAGGGGATCTCCTCTCTTGGCGCTAGGCTTGGTGTCTGGAAGGACGGCCGCGGAAAAAGGGGTGGGGTCGAAACCAGGAAGAGCAGCACCGGGTGGAGCAGGCGAGGGCTTGCAGTGAAGGGATCTGTCGGAATTCAAGAGGTCATGTCTTTAGGCCTAAACCAGTAGAATGTGGGCCGTGCGTGCGTTGACCGAAATCTCGAAAATTGTGGTCATTTGTTTGAATGATATGAGTTGTCATGATCTAGCTCCCGCAGTTGTTTCGGGAATGGCATTAACCCTTGAAAAAAGAATGGCAAGCCCCGGATTGATAGACCTTTCAGATTCGCAGGAGGAACCAAAAGAGACGGATTCCCCTTAAAGTTGGACTCCTCGTGTCATTCAGCTAAGAACTGTTCAATCCCGGGTTTACATTCGAATCGCCTGGCCCCAGTTTCTAGAACCATGTGATGTCCCCCAAAAATGGCATGGATGAGGCTTGTTCTAGGGAAGCAGCGCGTTTGGATGGGAGCCCGGATATGTTTACGCTTCATTCTTTATCTCTCTCACTTCCTGAGTTGATGGACTTTAAACTTTTTGGAAAGACCATTTTAGTGGTAAATAAAAAGTTCAGACTTTTTTTGGTCAGTCAACTTGGGAAGTGAGCTCCCGACTCGAACTGGAGTTTTGCCGAACTTCAAGGAACACGCCCAGATCCCAGAAGTTCCAGAGAGCCGAGGCTCCGGAAGCTTTCTCCAGACCTGTGATCCCCAGACCTCCGCGCCTTGGAACCCGGCCTTAGGCTGTTTTAAAGAAAGCAACGGAGCTGGGCAGAGACGAGACTCGCACCTTCAGCTTTGGGAAAATGCCAGTCTGAATGTTTGCCAAGCTTCCGCCAAAAGACAAAGCTGACACATTCAGCACATCTTGATATGGTTGATCTATTTCCTCGCAGAGTTTTGGTTGGCGCGAGCTGCTTTGTTTTTGTGGGAGCCCCCTTGCGGTCTCCCAAGCGGGAAGGCTAAGACAGACCAACGTGTTTAGGGGTGGTCAGTGGTAGGAGCGTATTTTTATGAGTTGTGTTTTCTCTACAAGACGAGACGCCTCTTGCAGAAGTGTCCCGGGCCTTGCGGTTTTTCGCTGATGTGCCCCCCCCCATTGGCCATCCCCCACACGCACGGATTCAGGCGGAAGTGGCCAGGCGCATCAAAGCGCTGGAGGTGCCCCTTGGGGTGATTCATGGGTCAGTTTGGCTAGAAATAGATGGCTAAGCCGCTGGTTTAGAGAGGTTTTAGGCCATTTACTAGAGACACCCACCGATTTTTTCCAGTCTAGGTCGCCTATGTGGGTGAGGCCCCTGTGGTTATGGGTGGTTGAAATTGTGCGTGGTTCCCTTCTTTTGCAAAATGCGTGTTCCCGTTCCACTTCCTGTTGTCGTTGAGAAAGTTGGCCAGGAATGCATGGATAAACAGGTCATGTAGCTTCGAACACTAGCGAGCCGTTGGGGGTATTGCGTTCCAGGCCCCGTGCTGTGTCCTGGCTTGGCAGTCCTCCTGTTGGGCTTTAAATTTCACATTTATTTGGCAACTCAAATGGGCCAGCGGTATTGTTGGCCCTGTCATGGTCCCCGTGAAAGAAAAGCAACAGCTGTCAGCCCCCCCGTGAATCAACGGATTGATTCATCCTGGGTTCTCACTCAACTTGCTTGTCCTATTTGAAGGAGCCTCGTTTATTCTAAGAGACCACGTGGACGTCCGATTTTCTCCTTGGCGCCCTTTGCATCCTGAGCTATGGGCAAGGTTAAATGCCAAGCATTTGACACACCCAAACGCTTCCCACCATGACTTTGACGTATAGGAGTTTTTACACATTCATGCCATACTGTCAGGGGGATGTGACGTGGGGCGCGCTCACCAGATTACCAAAGTGAAACGCGGAGTTGCAGCTGACCCCCACTGTATTGCCAACTGGCTGGTTTCCCGTCGGTGTCCTTTCAGACAACATCCTGGTTGTTTCATTTTTCTTGGGCTGTCCTCAGATAACCCCCGCTTCATGTTCAACTTTTAGTGGGCGAAACGGAACACCCACTAAACATCAACAAGCTAGAAAGCTAAGGAACCGGACGGTTGGGAGCCCAGTTTTCTCGCTTCTGCGGCCCCATCCCTTTGCTCAACTCGAAGGCCTAGGCACGCGATGCATCCCACATGAAAGCGGGCAGCTGCGAGATAGTGTGGCAAGTTCGCGAGATCTGAGAAGCTATTCTGGGTGGACGAAATCCTGCGCCACCTAAGAAACGCAATGATTATGCCCCTGGTGCCAACAAACTTTACGTATGTTTTTTTTCTTCTTTTTTTTTCTCAGGGGTTTCAAAGTGGAGCGCAATGGATTTCGTGCATCCACAGCTTGGCATAGCTTGGCCAACGCACGGAATCACCAGATACCTTAGTGGCTCCCAGCCATCCGGTTCCTTAGCTTTTTAGCTTTTAGTGTTTAGTGGTTGGATTTCCATTCCGCCCACTAAAAGTTAGTCACTTTTAGCGGGGGATCGGTTTGGACAGCTCTGAGACGACAAGCCACCATCTTCAAATGGCTATGAGTCAAAACCCCGGTGCCCCGGTGAAAACCCATAAAGCCTTGTAAAAAGACGACCGTGGAGTGGTAACCATTTCCTCTGAAGTGCCACTGTTTCGTTTTGCATGCTTTTTAGCGTCGCGCGAAGTCGCTCTGCATCCGAGAGAGGGAGAGAGAGCGAGAGAGAGAGGGAGTGGAAACCATCCCCAAAAAAGGCACCTCAGGTTTTGACCCACAACCAAATCCCCCCGGCCCGTTCCAACGACTTGGTCCCCGGTCAGGAGGTGCTGGGCAGCAAAGCGGGCAAGATTCAGGCGCGGCGAGCAGCTCAAAATTCAGACTGGAACACCTCCAGGGTACGCCAAAAAAAGAAGAGCAGCCAGGTCCCTCGGTAGTGCCTAAAATAGACAACAGCAAAACGGGTACCCTTATTCTATCCTCTCTACTGGAGGACCTAGAAATAGAGCAAGTAAGGGGTTATTCTTTGCGGTTTGGGGCTTACCCGGTGGGAAGTCTTTGAGTGTCGTCGGTGGGGGTTGGGAGAACAAAAAAAGAGGCCGGACTTGCTCTGGAAAGCAGGTGGCCTGAGTTCAGGGAGTTCGTGGATGTTCCTCGAGTTTGTGGCTGTTCTTTTGGCGAGAACGCCAAGGGAAACAGGACATGTGCGACTTAGGTGAAGCTAACAAACACATCTTGGAGTCTCAAAGGGAACCAACATGAGGGCCTTGGTTGTTTGAAGGGGCATTCTATATTTTAGTTCCTTCTCGTAGCCAGTCTCTGCTTGACGGTTTCCAAACATCAGCTGAGGCTTTGCTGACTGCTTTCTTGTAGACACAAACACACATTCCTTTTGACTCTTCTACTTTATGTCTTCCTGTTTCCTCGGTACAAACACCCACATTTTTTGCCCTTCTGTGACAGTAGACCTTTCCGGAGCCCGTTTCAAAGAGCTGCGACTAGCTTGTGCAGAGAGCCCCATCCGCTTCAAAATGGAAGCAGGAGTTTTATGGTTCCACGTGCGATTTGAAGCCCACCCCCTACCTTTTTAACGGCCCTAACGGGAAGGGGGGAGTCACAAGATGTCCCAAAGCTGCGTGCCCAAGAAATGCAGGCATGTCGTGTTAAGGAAAAACGGATTCAACGAGGCAACTGGCTCCAAAAATGTGTGTTGACAAACGAATGAGAACTGATCAAGCATGGGAAGAGTGAAGCGCCACCGGCCCAGACGTAGCACAGATATTTTGTTGATTCCAGGCTGATTTGACGACCTTCGTTTCCAGCTTCTTTGGTTTCCGCCTGGTTGCCGCCCCGCAAAACCACACGTGCTGAGTTCTTGCTCTTCAAGGTCTGCCAATGTGCCCCCCCCCCGCGACCCCCCTCCCCCCACAAGAACACAGAAAGAAAACAAGCCCAGCTTTGCTCGGCAAGTGAGGCCCCAGTGTGCTGGGAACCAATTCCCCCATTTCGCTTCGCTTCTTTCGCCAGGCCTTGCGCGAAGCCCTGGCTGAGAAGAGCAAGGCGTGGCACATGGGGTTCCCACGTGAATGGGAAAACTGCATATTTGGGTGTATGTCAAATCAGGGCTATTCACGCATGTTGGTGTTCTTTTGGTTTCCCTTCAATCCAACAAAGAGTACCTTCAAAACAGTATTCTATCGTCAGGATGTAAGGTCTCAGCGTAAGATGCGGACATTGGGAAGCTGAAGCTGCTGATCATTGCAGTTGTCCCTCAATCGCCCTTGAATAGCAAACGTGAGAGTTTCAGTGCGACAAAAGTTGGTCAAAGTGCAACTTTTGGGGACCTTTCGTGTGTTCCCATGGGAGGGCTCCCATCCATCCTCGACTTAGCGCTGAAAGCGAAGCCAAGTTGAACCCATTTTCGGGGTCTCTCATTGCAAGACTTCTGCCCATATTTGCAGAAGTGAAAGCATGGGTTTCACGCTCATGCTGGGAGCTTGTCAGCTCGTGCCAGCAGTAGGAGCGCAGGGCGGTCCTGCTTTCGCGGCGAATCTGGGGGGCTTGGGGCACGGGGTGACGCTGACTTGGAATCCCCGAACCC